CCCCAAAACCCCAAAACCCCAAAACCCCAAAACCCCAGTAGTCCATTCTAAGGTTGAATTGATAATTGTAACTAGGTAATAATTTTATAAAATTTAATTAATTTCTTTTAATAATCTGTTCCTACAGAAATAAAATGTTAGAAGCAGGGACAGGTAAGCTTCATTTTTTCAAAGCCAAAGATGTGTCTTTAAGTTTCATCATTAACTTTCCTCAAGAACTCTTTCATTTTAATATTGTATTCATGCACTCTCTTATTGTTTATCTTATACTTCTCAGTAATGCTCTCTATCCATTTTACATAGAGATCCTTCAATGCCAAAAATTTATTTAATTTTGTCAGGATTTTTAGCTAAAAATAGTGAAAAAATCCATACCTGCTAGACATTTGAAGCTGAAACTGACAGTGACTCACAGAGCAGCCACAGAGATTTCAGAAAAATGTGATCATCAAAAATCAGGCAAGAGCGGACTCAAGTTACAAATCGAATGAATTCACTCCTTGATCTCAGTATTCACATCTTTAATTAAAGAAGCTTGTTCTCTCTTCTTGATTCCTTTAATTTTTGTCAAATGCCTCGTTCATCATGTTCTTCTTGTATTCAAATAGTGACGAAATCCCTGAAGTGTCCATCTCAGAGGTTCCGTCATCTGGTCTTGGCAATACCAGTCAATAATGATCGACGAAATGCCTTAAGGATACAGGATTGATTTTAAAATCGATTAATAGAAGAATGTAAATTTGTTGCTCAAATATATATTTATGCAACGCCTTTATAGTCTTGTCTTCATTCCTCTCTCCCTTGTCATCATTAAGGATCAAGATAGGTGTCAATCTAAATCTGATTATGGGCTGGTGATAATAAGGACTTACCCATCAAGTTCAAAGAACTCTATGATATCTCGAATGAAAGGAGTGTCTTTCTCATATTCTCAAAACTTAATGCTTATGATGATTCAAGCAATTCATTTAAAGAAGGAGGTATACCTCTCAAATTTATAAGTTCCGTTACTAATCTGAGAAAAATCAAATAATTTGTCAAGAGAAATTGGTTTAAAATCTACTTTTCGATTATTCATCATTTGAAAGTCATTCAACATCACAGAGGTATAGAAAGTCTCATCCCTGAGTTCGAATGTATCACAGATTTTCTTGATTTTGCAAATAAGGTTCTCTCTACTCTCAAGGTTGAGATTATCAATGTTGATTAGAGAGACAACCCTTCTCTTAAACTCCCTATAGACAATAAGCTGGTGTTAAAGCAGAAGAAAGAAGTGATAAACCAGCAATTACTTACTTCTCAGCCACCTTTAAGTCTTTAAAGTCATCATCGAATTCACAAATTTGCTTCTTGGTGTTATAAGTCTTGTAAGTAAAAGGCAAATCTGATACTTTAGTAGTAGGCGAACACACAACTGTAGTGTTACAGTTCTTACTAACAAGCCTATTCTTCAGTCTCTTATTAAGCTTGCTCATTAGTGAAGAGTTAGGTGATACCAATGATTTCAACTCCGTATCTGAATCTTTCGTCAAAGATGGGTCTCTATAGTTCCTTCCAACATGACTGTTCATGGGACTTCCTAAAATTTAGTTATCGAAAAGTTTGAAGATTTCATATAATTTTTATAAGAAAAACTTTTCATCATTTGGAATAGAACAAGCTGGTCTGGAATGCTAATTTTATATCAGATTTGCTCAGAAAAATTATCTAAATATTCTCAAGAATTCTTATCAAATAACTTACTTTTGCCATGGCTGCCCTCATTATCAAAATTCTTAAGAATTAATTTATTTCCAATAGTAAGGCCTCTCTTCTCACTATTTTCAAGCATTTTTGATCTTTCTTGTGGCGAATTAGCTCCTAATTGGCTATTATTCTGGCTCAGAGCCTTACTCTGATTTATAGAGGCTTCATTCCTAGTATTCTTAATCCATTGAGAAATATAGTAAGGATGGTTCATATTTCTAGAAACCTTGGCTCTGCCTTGACCACGGGTCTTATCATCTGAATTATTCCTTCTAGAATTCTTGATCAACTTCCTTGCATTGCGGGCTGAAAAGATTCTATTGGCGTCTCCATTAGAGATATCAGCAGCAGTGTTATTCATATGAGGAGTCTATTTAAAATATTATACTAGACAAATAAGATTTAATTCTATTACTTTCTTGAGGAAATTGAGGAAAAAGTATGATTATAGGAACCGAATTTGAATAGTTTTTAGTTAAAAAGCGCCAAGAATCTGAAAAAAGTCACAAATTTAAAATTAAAGAAAGGGTGAATATTAAAAGACTACATCAGCTCTTGGACTTGACGATTGAGATTACCCGAATCCCTGATTTCATTCTAGTTCCTCTAATGTTATTCAGATTCTCCATTATTCGTCTATTTTGTAAATTTTCAAGCTATGCTCTTATTATTTCCATTGCGAAAGTTCTTCAACTTTCTGCTAGGTCTTCTAGTAACTGAAGGTGGCCCATTGAGATTCAACATTGTTATATATTACAATAAATATTAATTATTTTATGCATCTGGGGTTTTGGGGTTTTGGGGTTTTGGGG